GGGGGGGGGGGTCCTTAGGAAAAATTTTAGACACAAATGCATGCGTTGCGGTCTTGGCATATTGGCTTGTTTTATGTGGTATTAGTGTGTTAAAATTCAGCTTTGCTTGGGGGCAAGCAAAAGTCAAGTGTGGTGTATTTTGATATGTGCATATTTAGTTACATATTTTGTCTAAAATCCTAATACTTTTTGGCTAATTTGTCCTAATTATTGAACAAAAGGTACTTAATTGTGTTTAAATTGTATTTGCAGCCTAAAAGACAAGCTCGAGTTAAAAAGGAAGTGGGATTAACAGAAGGAAGCTTGGGGAACAAAGAAAGAAGAAAATGAAGCTAAAAGAATGAAGAACTCGGCGAGTTGGCTGTCTACTTGCCGAGTAGACACGAATCTTCGCGAACCATCGGGTGCCTTACCGTGCACGGATTTTATGTGAGGGACTCGGCGAGTCGGTCTTTGGACTCGACCTGTTTTCAGAAAACTATATAAAGGGCACAAACTCACGAGACAAGGACTTCTCTCTGGATACCTTGGCGACTCAGCTGCGATTGAAGGGTTATTGAAGCTCTGGAGTTCGAAGATTTCACCCTAGAGTTCAATTCGAAAGTGATTAAAGGCAACATATACGCTCTTCTTCTTAATTTATTGAACAAAACCATGTTTTTACTTCTAGATTTCGTTTTTGAGTTATTATTTGCTGTAATTATGAGCTAAAACTCGTAACTTCTGTTTAGGGTAGATTAGCTTGTTAATATAGTTTGATTTTATGGTGTGGATTATTTGATTTGGTGAAAACTGTTTTGCTAAGCTTGTAATCGATCCTTATGTGTTGTCAATAACTGTTTTTCTGTTAATTACCAAGTCTATTAAGTTGCATTAACATCCTCTTGATTACTTGCTTCATATGATTTATGTGAAAACAACATTATATGCCTAGTATTAGTGAATATGAACCTAGGATTAATAGAAAACATGTAAGTTAATGTGTAAGCTTGTGTAATGAACAACCATACAAGATGTTGATTAAATTAGTCATTTAATTAGCTAAACTACAAGTCTTACTTAACCCGAATCAAAATACTAGGAAATTCATTAGTTTAACCAATTGGCCACTGTTTGAATTAATTTGTTTTCTAAGGATTAGTAATAGTGAACACGAGTCTAATCACATTTATCGATAGCCAATGACAATATAATCCATTGCACTTGCCATAACATCAACTATAGAAACAAGTGAGTCAAACCTAAACAGAAGTCTCTTTTATTAATTGAATCTAGTTATCTTCAATTTCCTTAGCTGCTAGTTGTTTTTGTTTTGTTTAAAGTATTAGTTAATTGTTAAGTTTCTAGTCTTGCAAAACTAGAGAAAACCCCTTCTTTTATTATTTGTTTTAATTAGGTAATTTTAGTATTTAATTTAGCTGATACCGTTCCTGTGTTCGATACCCTGCTTGCTTAAACTAAACTGCTATCGATAGGTACACTGCATGTGTGTGTTTGTTTTTATTTGAGTTTGTTAGGATTAAAACTAGTTCGTTTAACACACATCATCTCCTTATGACTTCTTCAACTCTCATAGTTTCTGGATCAACAAATTGCTCTATGGTGGATGCGATTTGCACAAACTTGTTAGGTACTCCCCGAAGTAACTTCTTGACCACGTAGGCCTCTCCTATTGTCTCTCCTAAGGCACGAATGTTGCTAACTATGTTCGTGACTTTGGCAACGAACTCGTCTATCGTTTCTGATTCCTTCACGCTCATCATTTCAAGTTCAGTCTTCAACGTCTGAACCCTAGCTGTCTTCACCCGATCAACCCCTACATACATGGTTTTCAGAGTTTCCCATGCGTCCTTATTTGTTTACTTTTTTGCCAACGATAAGATCATATCTTCTGGAATACCCTGGTTGATAGCCGCCATTGCCATCTTATCTTTTCGAACTTCAACGACTGTATTGGCTGTTCTTGGTTCTACTGCCTCCCAAACACCTTGGGCCTGTATGAAAACTTTCATTTTTGATTGCCCAAGCAACATAATTACTTCTCGAGAGCATGGGGTAGTGTAAGGTGATAGAACCATCTTTGTCACTGTTGTTTCCTGTCATTTCTGTCACTCATGGTTGATACTTGGGCATATACCAGATTCACTCTGATACCAAGCATTGGTGCAGGCCCTGTTCTTGCTATTACAGAGAGGTTTAGAGAGAGTAGAGTAAAAATGCTATTACAGAGAGGTTTAGAGAGAGTAGAGTAAAAAAAACGAGATAGGGCAATTTTCTGTGTTGTTTTTCACTACTTCAAAACAAAAGACGTTACAATCTACTTATCCTATCAATCAGCTAGAAATGTGGAAACACTAAACCACTTAATTTCTAGTTCCTACAAAAAAGGGAAAGTGACCAACATGGCCTTTGAAAACGTCCTACATGAATAAACTGAAAATAAACATAAATGGTCCTCAAACTTTCTGGATTATACCAACAAAGATTTGAATTTGCACTGGGCTTTTATAGTTGTTTGGTTTCTAACTTTTATAGTTACGAATATGTATTTTAAATATTGTTTGACTCATTGAAACAAAATCAACTAAAGTTATCAGCCTATTATAGGATTATGGTCAAGTAGTGACATTCACTGTTTATCTCAAAGTTAGTAAATTCAATAAAAAAATAAGACAAACCCGGTGTTTATGCAATTATATCTTATGGGAGGGCGTATCACGCAAAATGTAGAAAATATGTTGTGTAAGTTATGTAAATTGGCAGATTATACGAGGCAGAAAATAAAGCAGAAACATAACATAAAAGTCATGTTATATAACGATAACCGAGAATAAATAAAAAACATAACACGAAAAACATGTACCAAAAGTAAAGTGGAGGAGGTTCTTTTTATGGATGATCATGGAAAGCTTCCTTAAAGAATCATAAAGGAAGTAATAACATGTAAACATACAATCTTCAACCAATTCTATCCACCTTGTATGCCACCGAGGATTGGTGCAAAGAATTGCAACAAATCCCAATAAGAACACAACACATGGATTGTCGAACAAGAAGTTCTCATATCAATATTCGTGCATTTCTTCTCGAGTGGTGATCTACAAAGAAGTGGATTCCCTTATGCCAAACTATGCTTTCAGTTTTGGAAGTTTGCATGATAGATTTTTATGAGAAACATTAAAGTACTAATTGAATTTTGGCCTATTTTTTTCATATAAAGGAGCCTTCCACAGGGAAAATTTTTACTCTGAGGTCCAACTAAACATGTCTTCTATGAATGGCAGTCATCTCCTCCTACTGTTCACTCGATCATTAAAGCTTCTATTCACGCTTCGATCAAAGCCTCGACACATGACTGGCACCATTTCCTGGGACATCCATCCATCTCTATACTCAAAACATTATCTTCTAGTTTTCCATGACAAATTCCAAGTATTTCTAAATTTTTCTGTAATCCATGCAACATTAATAAAAGTCACAAACTTCCATTTTGTGATTCTACCATCTCTACAATTGCTCCTCTTGAATTGTTCGACTCATTGAAATAAAATCTAACTAATGTTATTAGCCTATTGTAGGATCATTGACAAGTAGTGACATTCACCAATTCATTCAAAGATGGTAAATTCAATAAAAAATAAGAGAAACCTGGTGCTCATGCAATTATATCTCAAGGGAGGGTGTATCATGCAAAATGCTGGAAAATATGGTGTGTAAGTTACTACAAATTGGTAGATTATATGAGACAGAAAATAAAGCAGAAACATAACACAAAAGCCATATGCACAACCCGACACATAACCAAGAATAAAGCATAAACATAACAGGAAAAACATGTACTGAAAGTGAAGCGGAGGAGGTTCTATTCATGGATGATCATGGAAAGCTTCCTTACAGAATCATAAAGGAAGTAATAAAATGTAAACATATAATCTTCAACCGAGTCTAGCCACTTTGTACGCCACCGAGGATTGGTGCAAAGAATTGCAACAAATCCCAATAAGAATACAACACATGTCGAACAAGAACTTCCATAAAAGCATGTCATATCAATATCATACCATTTCTGATCATTGTCTTCTTCAACCGATGAATTGGTCAGATGTGAATTATTCGTGCATTTCTTCTCGAGTGGTGGTCCACAAAGAAGTGGATTCCCTTCATAGCTTGCCTCTGTGAAGGTGCCAAACTGTGCTTTCATTTCTGGGAGTCTGCCTGATAGATTGTTATGAGAAACATTGAAAGTAGATAGAGAGGTAAGCTCAATCAATTCTGATGGAACTTTGCCAGTCAAACCATTTGAAGAAAGGTCCAAGCTCTCTATCTTTGCAAGATTTGAGAAGCTCATTGGAATGGGTCCAATCAGCTGATTATGAGACAGGTTTAAAGCACGAAGTTGAGTTAAGAATCCCAGTTCTTGTGGAATTTCACCTGTTAGCTTGTTACATGAAAAATCCAATCCCGCCATGTAATCAAGGATGTCACCCTTGTAGCTGAGAAAGAGCCTTTTTGTTGTATACTGAACTTGGTCTTGTGTTTCGAATACATCAATAGCGGAGTGGATATATTGCTCCACTCGTAGAATACTCCCATAATGGAAAGCGGGAAGAAGGGTATACGGGGACCCCAGTATGATACTTTTTACGAAAGCAAGGTCAGTTGGGCCAGTTATATTTTGAAGGCATCTCGGTAATGAACCAGAAAGTGAGTTACCGGATAAGTCTAATAAACTCACATTACCTAATTGACACAACTGCTTAGGAATAGAGCCACTGAAGTTGTTTTTTCTTAAAAGAAGAATCCTTAAATCGGATAGTTGGCCAAGAAATTTAGGAATCCTGCCTGACAAGTTGTTGTTGCCAATGTCGAGAGTCAAAATATTATTCAAATTACGAAAGGATTTGGGTATTGATCCCGTGAATTTGTTGGAACCCAAAAGGAGATGCTTCATATTTTGCAAATCTAAACAGGAAGGGATGGGTCCGGAGAAAGAATTTTGTGAGATATCAAGAAATGAAAATCCAGCTGTTCCACAAGGAAACTCACCTTCCAAACTATTATTTCTCACCACAAGTTCAGACATTGTAAAGAAGTTGGGTATCGAATCAGGGATCATACCTGTAAACAAGTTATTGCTAATATCCAAAGTTGTCAGAAACTCACGAGTTTCCTTGCTCCTACTAATTTCAATTTTCCCTGTGAATTGGTTGTTATCTAAGTAAACCCATTCGAGGTAACGCCAACTTAAGTTTCCTGCGAGTACCTGTCCATGCAATTTGTTGTTTGATAGTTTTAAGAATCTCAACCGAGAGACATTTGTAAACAATCCCTTTGGCACTTCTCCTGATAACCCGTTCCTAGATAAATCCAACATCATTAATTCACTCAAATCACCAATTGAGGACGGGACAACGCCACTTAAATCATTCATGGATAAATCCAAAAGACTTATGTTTGGAAAGAAGTTTGGTATATCCTCTGGAATAGTACCTATCATGTGATTTCTAGACATATCCAAAATCTTCATATTAGCATTCCTATACAGTGGCATACTGATAAACAAGTTGTCCGCTAGAAAAAGAGAATCCAGATTCGTATTATTTTTAATCAACCAATCCGGGAAGTGTCCATGCAAGGAATTGTTAGACAAGTCTATTTCCCGTAAGTTGTGTTGGTGAATTAGAAACCCAGGAATAACACGTCCTTTAGGTATTTTCACATGACAGTTAGATAGCTCAAGAATTTCCAACTGGAACATTGGAATCCAGCCTAAAGGTTCTTCTGTTTCCACCTCAAATATGTCATTGTCGCTTCTGAATCGAACCACCTCAAGATTTATAAGATTGGAGAATGAGCTGAAAGGTAATGAACCTTCAAACATGTTATTACTAAAATCGATGTACTCTAGAGATGTAAGATTAGCAATGATTGATGACACAATTATCCCTGTGAATCGATTTGAAGAAAGATCTAACAACTTAAGAGATGGTAGATTTTTCAAACACTGAGGTAGAGTTCCATGGAGCATGTTGTTACTAAGATCCAACTCATGGAGGTTCTTCAACTCACACAACCCTGTCAGAAAGGTTAGTTACAAAAGATTAATATGACTTGCATTTGGCTTCAAAAAGATTACCCAAAAACTCATCAAGGAAAGGTAATAATCACAACAATACCATGATCAAGTATTGAGCCATTGAGCTCATTGTTAGCGAATGAGAGAGCTTTTAGGGAAGATAATGCTTGTATTGCTGAAGGGACACTCCCACTAAAATGGTTGTAGCTCAAATCTAAGACTTCCAGATTGTGAAAAGAGGCAAAAGCTGGATGACAACAAATTAAAAGAGGTTTACTAAACAAAAACCCTGAAAAAAGAATTTGTTACAAGTCATGTATTTATTTATTGATGGTTGAAGCTAGATAGGGTGTCGATGAGTTCTTAATTAAGAGAATAATAGCACGTTGCTATAATATTAAGTAATGACGAAAGAAGGTTACCTTCCATTGGTAGTGTTCCACTGAAACCATTATTGCTCAACAGGAGGATTTCCAAACCAGAAAAATTAAAGAATTCTGAATTAAATAAATCAGTTTCATAAAACTGATTAGCAAATGGAAATTAATAAATAATATTTGTATTTAATTTCTTTATTGATGATTCTTTTAAGATGAACATGCCTTGGACAGGAAACGAGCTTCTCCATAAAAAAGAACTTGTAAGATCAAGAAACTTGAGGGATGGAAGGACACTAAGGCATGATATGATGCTCTTGTTGAATCTCGTGCCTGAAAGATTTATACTCTCCATCCTTTTCAATCTCGATAAGGTCCTACAAGCTGAAAAAAGGAAGGCTCTTCTTAGAGAAACCAAGCATGGTCATGTAAAGTTTGTAATCATGGAAGAATTTAGGCTTCATTAGCATTCGAGAACTTTATCCATTATTCACAAGTTACCATGGCTAGGATAAGCTCATACATGTGGTAGAAAAAAGAGCATCATTTCATTGGACAAACCACGGTCTTATAAAGTTTGTAGTTATGGAAGATTTATGATAGATTGGTGTTCAACTACTTTGGCTATGTTTGGTGTACTAACCGAAAAGCTAGTTGCTAGCCGAAAAACTAGCTGATAACTAAAAAACTAGTTGTTAGCTGATAAAAAATTATATTTGGTAAAACCTAGCTGGAAGATATAAAATAACATAAAATGACATTCTGAAAAATATGTTTTTCATAATTAATTAAGGGTATATTCGGAAAAAAAAAAATAAAAGCTTCTGAAAACTAGTTCAAGTAGCATTTTAAAAAACTAGCTTATAATTTAATTTTGACTTGCTAAACATGACAATTTGAAAAAGCTTGAAATAAGCTAGCTTATTAAGTTTGAAAAATAAGCCAACTTATTAGCTATTTATGTCGTGCCAAACACAGTCTTTATCTTTTGAACTATTCACATGTTACCAGGTCTAAAAGAAGATAATTATTCATTTACCTTGGATATTCGGTGTGTCATTGAACTGGGTATCATGTAAATCCAGCTCCTTCAGGTTAGTCAGATGTGATAATTCTGTCGCACCAAAGAAAAATCATGCATCATATATTATGCATGCTATTTTCAGATGTAAACTTTGAAGCTAGTTTGGTTTGGAGCATTATATGCTCATTAGTCTTTCTACATCAATATAGCTAGATTAGGCAGCCTTATTTAGAGATTAACATCAGTCCAACAAATATATGCCAATTCTCTTTGAGAAACACAACCACAATTAAAATTCAAATCCCTTAACTAAATCATCCCCAACTTCCACACTAAATCAAAAACCCAAATCCTGGGGTTATGGACTTATAGATGTGGATCTGGTGTTAAGGATGTGAGTGTAAACCTACTTGGGTGTGAACCTGCCATGAGTAGCTGCACCACCCTCTTTTGTTGACAAA